AACTGAAACTATGATGAAATGGAGTATGGGAAAACAGAACTCTTTTGCTTTGGGGAGGTGATCTTATTGACTCACTGCCACTGAGTTGAAACCAACTCATAGTTGACCCTCCATTAATTTTCAGAGACTATAAATTGCATAGGGGAGAGATTGCCCATCCTTCTCCTTTGGAGCCAGTAGTGGATTTGAACCACCAAACTATGGTCTTGGTAATTCTCTATGGATTACATATAGTCTTTGAAATTACTTGCTTTGTGTCAGAAAGTTGTACAATGACTAGGGATGATAGAGAATTGATGCCTTTGAGCTATGGTGCTGGAGAAGAGTATTGACTGCCAGGAGAACAAACAGGTTCGTCCTGGAGAGGGTGAAACTAGGCTGCTCCTTGGAGGCAAGAATTCTGAGGCTTCGTCTGACTAACTTTGGGCATGTTGCAAGGAGGGACCAGTCCTTGGAGAGAGACATCATGTTTGGGAGGTGGAGGGATAGCACAAGAAAGGAAGACCATCAATGAAATTGGTTGATTTAGTGACTGGAGTAATGAGGGTAGGTTTATCAGAGACAGTAAGGTTGGCTCAGAATAGAACAGGTTTCAAGATTGTTGTACATAGGATTGCTATGAGTTGCAAGTGACTTGACTGCACATAACAACAACAATATGAACTACACTACCTATGGAGGTGGTAGAAGAGTGAATTGTTATATTAAAAATCTTAAGTATCTTTGCAAAATGATGTATACAATAAACTAAATATATCAATGCAAAAAAAATCCTGCCATATGTTGTTTGATATTTTATATTCAGAGCTTGGTTCTGAATTGAAATTAAATAAGGCTAAATAAATAGATGGGCATTTAGAGATCTGAAAAGTCTTTTTTTTTTAAATTTTTTTATTTTTTCACATTTACAGTTGCTCTGAGGATTGACCACAATGGAAGCTCTTTGTCAGGAGTGTTAGAACATTCTCAGTGTAGTTCCAAATGTGCTCTGCTGTCTTTGGGAGTCCAAGTGTCTCCCAAGCAGGCGAGAGATGAACAGCCTTCAGGTGGGCCTGCCTCCTGGGGAGAGATAGGAAGAGGAGACGTGCTCAGGTTAGACGGGGAGGACCAAGGTCAAGGCCCATGGACCTGCTCAAACCACTTAATGCCTCTTCTCTTCCTCACTCTTGAGATCCTCACATTTCCACTTGAAATAGGAATGGTTACGACAGTATTAAGTACCAATCAATGATGTCAGTTTGAAGACTAAGGTATTTAGGCTTTTCTACCACTTGCTATGCATCTGAGAGCTGGACAATGAATAAGGATGACAGAGAAGAATTGATGACTTTGAGCTATGGTGTTGGAGAAGAGTGTTGAACATCCCATAGACTGCCAAAACAACAAACAAATATGTCTTGAAGAGGGTGCAGCCAGAGTGCTCTTTGGAGACAAAGATGATAAAGCTCTGCCTCACATATTTCGGGCATGTTTCTAGGAGGGACATGATGTTTGGAAAGGTTGAGGAAGGAGAGGAAGACCCTCAACTAGGTGGATTGACACAGTGACTGCAGCAATGGGCTTAGTTGTGTCAGAGATGATGAAGAAGATAAAATAGAAGAGAGTTCAGAGAGTTCATATCTGTTTTTCATAGGGTCATTATGAGTGGTACTCGACCTGATGATACCTAACAACAGCAGCAAAAACCAACAATATGTTCACAGCTTTTGGGGTGAGTGTTCTCTTTTTTAATGCTATTTTTGTAAAGAGCAAAATTAGGTAAAATATTTAAGTTTCAGGAAAAATAGAATGGAATTCATTTGCCAACATGTTATGTGCTAAAAAGATCTTGCTTCAGGATGCTTGCTTTCCAACATGAAAAGACATTTAATTAAGTATAATATATAAGTAAACGCAATTGTATGTGTTCTAAGGTAAGGTAAGTGGCCAGGGTAGAGTTTATTAAGAAGGTGACTTAGAAGAGCAAAGACTTGGAGGTGAGGGAATAATCTATGAGGGTGTCTGGCGAAGGAACTTTCCAGGCCCAGGGAAGAGCCAGTGCAAATGTCCTGAGGCAGCAAAGTGCATAAGGCAGGTGAGGGTAAGGGGAGCAGATAGATTGAAGGAGTCTTATCAGCTGCTATGAAGGCTTTGGCTCTTACTGAGATACAAAACAAAATGAAGAAAAATCCAAAGTGTTGTTATCCCAGTTTTCTGGCTTTTCTTCTTAAGTACTGTCTTGGCAGTGTGTGACTGGAGGTCTCAAAAAGGCAGGCAGGGTGTGGGCAAAGGGTCTGCACAGATCAGAACTGCTCTGAGATCTTCTTTCTACCACCTACTTCCCACACCTGGGTGTGGCTCATTCCACCCCCTCAATTATTTTAATGACATCTCTGGCCTGAAAACACAGATCCTCAACTTTAGAACAAATTAGATGCCAACTCCATCCCCACCCGATCATCACCAATGCTACTCAGTCAGACGGGATCCCAGAGAAACTGGGCATGGTGGTCTCAGCAAATGCCATACTCAGCTGAAAGAGACAGCCCTCAGCTTTTCCACCCCACCCTTGAGCTGCCCCCACCTTCTCTCCCCCTCCAATCTCTCCTATCTGCCTGACACAATGGCAGGGTGGGGCTAAGGAACCAGCTTCCTCTGCGCAGATCTCAATCTGGGCCTTCGATTCCAGTCCCAGAAACACAGAGGATCAGACTCTTGGAGACCTAGACGGGTAGCTCACTGCACTCCTAACTCCAAGGGGCAGGCAGTACAGGCTGGAAAATAGAAGCAGCTTCAAAATAAGATAAAGGTAAATTGCTGGGACATTAAAGCGGAGAGTGCCTTGTGAAAACAGTGGGCTGGCTTACACCCAGGGCCACAGGATGGAAATGGGAGACAGGCTGAAGTGGGAGGACTGAAGTTGGTGGTCTTGTTGTTGTTGTTATGTGCCGTTGAGTCACTTGCGACTCATAGCGACCCTATGTACAACAGCCCTAAACTCCGCTCTGTCCTGTGCCAATCGCACTGTCTCTGACACTCCCATCCCAATTATCCCAGTCACTGAATCAATCCACCTCATAGAGGGCCTTCCTCTCCTGCGCTGTCCTTCCACCCTCCCAAGCATGATGTCCCTCTCTAAGGACCGGTCTCTCCTCACAACATGTTCAAAGTATGATGGTCTTAGTGGATCACAATACCATTCCTTAGTTGAGACAAGTGCTTCTAGACAGATGTGCCTGCTCACCACCCCACCCTCTGTGCCACTGCCCTCTCCTCACCTCCTTTCAACACATGCAAATAGAAGCAGTGTAATGGGGACAAAACAAGCACATACACAACAGACCGCTCTTTCAAGCCCGAGTTTCTGCCTTTCTCCAGACCCAGGATCCAGGGTCCTTCACATCTCTCAGGGCTGAGTGTGCGCATGTGGAATGTGGTGTGGTTGTGTTGGGGGGGTGGTGTCCGGTTGGGAGTAGGATCTAATTCCTGTTTCCTGCCCCTACTCACTCAGCGCTGCGAAGTGACTGAGAGTGGAGGGGACGTGAGGGTGAGTGCTTGGGGCTGGAATACCTGGGTCCCTGCAAGAGGCTGGAGTGGGTGTGGGGAAGGGAAGAAAACTAGTAAGTACCTGAGGGGGATGAGCCCCCTGAGGAGGATTGGGGCTGGGGAGGAGCTGGTCCTCTGGAGAGGTGCTACCTGGGCCATTGGGGGCTTTCTGAGAGAGACACAAAACCAATGAGCTGCAAGATTCAATTTTGCAGCCCCTAGTCCATATCTTTTCTCAGAATCTTCCCCTTGGGCTAGAGGGCTCAGACTCCCCTGCTGACTGCTGAGGGAATTAGGGGTGCCCCTTTACCCTACAGCCTTCTGGGATACAGAACTTTCCCTTTGGGAGAAAGAAAAATCCTGAGTCCAAGCAGCCTGCCCACCGCCAGCCCTTGTCTTCTACTCGGTCTGGGACAAGACCCAGGCCTCCACACCGGGGCTTTCCTTGGGCCTGGATGAAGGGATAAGCGACTGTGTCCAGGTCTCCCGGTCTCCTGGGGTCAGAGACTCCTGGAATCTTCATGGCAGGAAAAGGAGACTAAAAATAATCCGGAAAGGGAGAGTCCAGAGAGAGGAACTGGGAAGTGGGGGGCTGGAGCAGGGGAAACAGTGATGCATCCCTCAGTTCAGGCACAGGCGCATGCGTGTGCACGCACACACATTCATCCACACCCTTACAGTCTTTCACCTCCCTATCACACACAACCCCTTCCCATCACAAACGTATACACACACTGATACTCACCCTTACACACTGATACACAAACGCATCACGTACACTTGTATTTAAGCTTGTACACTCACACTTATACACATACTCAGACACACCATTGCACATTTACTCTAACAAGCTCTCTCTCACAGACACACACACACACACACACACACACACACACACACACACTCCTTAATAGATACACCACACTCTGTATATGCCACTCACTACACTCCATTTTTACCCAGTAAGCACATAGTGCATATTCCCCCCCCACCCCCATCATGCACCTACCTCCTCAGAACTGCAGACTGTACACCCGGCTCCATCACACGTGCGTGTCACCACACGGGGACTGCACATAGATGTGCAAATGCACAGCTGCACCCTCTCCCCGCACCACTGAAAGCTGAATGCTGCCCATGGACCCAGCCCTTGGGCATACTGAGTCTCTACCTATGTGCCCCTCCAACCGCAGCCTCATTGCACACTCTGGCCTGCCTGTCAACACGGACTCTGTCCTCAGGAGGGGGAATAAAGGGCAGTGAGAGATGGAAGAGAAAAGAAAGTGGAAAGAGAAGGACAGGAGTTGACACATTCTTTGTCTTTTCTCCCAGCTCCAGAATTGTGGCTCCTTGATTTGCAGACAATTTCTCCCCACTTTTATCACTCTGAGGCACTCAGCTGGGCACTGAAGGCCATTCTCTTCTTCCTTCTCAGGGGATGACTCCAGTGCCAAGTCTTGGTCTTTTGAAGAGCTCTGAAGATGATGTCAGCCCCGTCCCTTCCTGTAGCAACACCCCCTACTCAGAAGCCCCCTCGGATCATCCGCCCTCGCCCTCCTTCTCGCCCCAAGGGGACTGCCCAGAACCCAGGGCTTCCCCACAATGGGTCTGCCTCACAAGAACTTTCCCCCACCTCCAATGATGCAATACCCCCAATGTGCACCTCTGTCTTCTGGGAGCCCCCTGCTGCATACCTCAAGCCCCCTGCCCTTATGCCCCCCTCAGCTTCTAAAGTCAGCCTCGACTCCCCAACTTCCCCAGGCTCATCTCCAAGCACCCCTAGTCCAGTGTCCCGACGCTCTGCCTCTCCGGAGCCTGTGCCCCGGTCTCCAGTTCCCCCACCCAAGCCCTCTGGGTCACCTCGGACAACTCTGCCTTTGCTCTCTGAGGCCCAGGACCTGTCCAAGGATGACCCTGCCTCTGCCCCTGGCACTGTGCGGAGGCTGGCTGGCAGGTTTGAGTGGGGAGCAGACGGCAAGGCCCAGGCTGCCAGCACTTTGGAGCTGTGTCCCCAAAGTGGAGTGGATGTGAATGGAGGTAGAGATGCTCTGCAAGACATCCCTGCTGGGAGTGGATCACAGGAGAATGCTTCAGGTATGTGCACGGCAGGGCCTGGACACCGCAGTCGAGCCCATCTTCTTTATTTCAGTGCTTCAAGACAGGACACTTTCAGGGGCTAAAATGGAGTTTGTGTTTGGAAATCTGATTTCAGCACCTGTGAGATTGAAGTGTCAGAGTTGGGGAGTTAGATGCTGTGGCTGAATCTTGATGTTTCTGTACTGGATGGTCAAAGTTAGGGAGGAGGGGTGGGTTAGGGTGGGTCTGGGCCCCAGGGATTTTGCCTTTAGGATATCTTTGTGCCCCACAGATGCTGCCGTGGTCTGTCCTCCCTGCTGCCCCTGTGTCTGCCATATGGCCCGGCCTGGCCTGGAGCTGCGATGGGTGCCTGTGCGGGGCTATGAGGATAACCTCAAGGTCCCTTGCCGGACTTCCCCACTGCGGACCTCCCGTTCCCGCTCCAACCCTCCAAACGGTGGTCACCCTGCGGTTGTCCTCACATCCTACCGTTCCACTGATGAGCGCAAACTCCTGCCGCCTCTGAAGCCCCCCAAACCAACTCGGGTCAGACAGGATGCCATTGTCCCCAGGGAGCCCCCACAGCCAGATTTAGATCTGCCCTCCGAAGATGGAATCCAAACAGGTACAGGGCCTCTGCTGGTGTAGTCAGTCTATAGGAAGGCGTACGGCTATCAGACTGTGGCTCTTCCCTGGTGGTTCAAATCCACCAGCAGCTCTGGGGGAGAAAAATGAGCAATCTCCCCTCATGTAATTTACAACCTCAAAAACCTGCCATGAGTCAGTTCCAACTCTTCAGAAGTGAGTTTTTTTTTTTGAGACAGGGCTTGTGGGATGGACCTCTGGGTTGTAAAGGGAAGGCTGCACCTAGGCAGAGCATTTTGAAATTTTAGAAAGCACAGCCTCCAATGGACCCTGAGTTTTCATTCTTTCATCAGCTTCTTCTTTGAGCCTGATGGGAGTTGTAGTTTTTACACTTATTGGCTGTGGCTGGTCTAGGAAGTCCTGACCTGGAGATTCTAAGGTTTGTTCTCTTTACTCTGGGCTCTCTCTCCAGGGGACAGTCCTGATGAAGCACCTCGAAATGTTTTTTCAACAACCATGGAGGGCAGGTACCAAACATCTCACCCTTCCTCCCACCCCTACTCCCATGTAGCCAGACTAACCTTCAAGTCCGGTTAAACCTTCCACAGGTGGTGTGAAGAAGGGTGGTTAGGATTCTAGCAACAAGCAAACCTGGGTTCTGGTCTCAGAACCTTTGATTAATTCACTGACCTTATTATAGAAACTTTCTGGATCTTAGTGTGCTCATCTATAAAATACCTATGAAATGCCAGTTACCCCAGAGAGTGGTTAGGATATGATATTGGTGAAGGGCTGGACTCTGTTGCTTTAGTTTCCCCCTTACTCCTTGAAATCCTTGTCCACTGATCCACTGGCAATCATGAGCAAGTCTTCTAAATTATCTGACGTGATAATTGTCTGAGATTCACCATCCTTATCAGAGCTAATCTTGGCTCATTCATTTATTCAGCAAAAGTTTACTGATATTGTGGCTGGGCATTCTCCCAGGTTTTTGGCTTGGAGGAGCAGGTGTGTTGGTGGGAGGCCTTTGGGTTTGATCATACTGACTTTCATGGAGGCATGTTGTTATGTGATGTGGAATCTTCTATGACTCCTAGTGGCCCTGTGGACAATAGATCTGAGTCTTGCTCTATCCTCACGATCTCGGACATGCTGGAGCTCTTTGCTATGATCACTGTGTCAATCCATGTGATTGAAGGTATTTTGGAGACATAGACAGGAAGTGCTAGACAATGGTTGCTACTATGATAGGGCTGGTGATAGACACCTGGAAGTCTCTTGAACACAATGGTGAAGATAACAGGCCTGGGCTTCTCCTGCATCAGACACACCCATGTAAATAACCTGGGCTTTGGTCTGAGAAGCTATCAGGGCCATGCATACAATGACTGAGTATTCCTTTACCTCTCCCTGGAGGTGTGCAGCAGCAGTGGTTCTGGGTCTTCCATCCCTGTTTCTCTCTGCAGAGAGGAAGAGGGCCTCGAGGGGCTAAAGGAACAGAACTGGGAGCTCCCGCTGCAGGATGGTGAGGCTTCTAACTTCTGGGATCCTGTTGGAACCAAGGAGAAGGGAGGCGCTGAGGGCACTACATCTCCTTGATGTGTGTGCCTTCGATTTCCAGAACCCCTGTACCAGACCTATAGAGCGGCTGTGCTCTCAGAGGAGCTATGGGGGGTTGGTGAGGATGGAGGTCCCTTGCCAACAAACCCCGAAGACACTCCCACCTTCACAAGGCCCCCGGGACCACGCAACACCCTGTGGCAGGAGCTTCCGGCTGTCCGAGCCAGTGGCCTCCTTGAGACCCTCAGCCCCCAGGAGAGGCGCATGCAAGAGGTGGGTGCATCTGGGCTCAAGACCGGCTGGGCGAGGTGCAGCAGAAGAGTGAATGGACTTTCCCCAACTGCCCATCCTTCAGAGCCTATTTGAGGTGGTGACATCGGAGGCCTCCTACCTGCGCTCCCTGCGGCTGCTGACCGACACCTTTGTGCTCAGCCAGGCACTCCGGGACACACTCACACCCCGGGACCACCACACTCTCTTCTCCAACGTGCAGCGAGTCCAGGGAGTCAGCGAGCGGTCAGTGGGGCCCTGTCCTCCAGCAGACCAGGCCCTGGGGTCTGGTGCTCTGCCTGGGTCGTATTCTTCCATGGGCTCAGTTAGTTCCCAGCTCTTCCCTTGGTTGGTAACATGGCTAGTCTGGCTCCTTGTCCCCTCCATTGGTTATTTCCCTTCATGTGGCCAGGTTCCTGGGTACGTTACTGTCCCGTGTGCGCACCTCTCCTCACATCAGTGACCTGTGTGACGTGGTGCACACCCACGCCATGGGGCCCTTCTCGGTGTATGTGGACTATGTGCGAAACCAGCAGTATCAGGAGGAGACCTACAGCCGCCTCCTGTAAGAACTCCACAGCCCTATATATCTGTTTGGCCCTGGGGAGGCAGGTGGGGGGGTCTAGGCCGGAATAGGCCGGGAAGCCGGCTGGGGCTGTGGAGAGCTGGAGGCAAATGCTGGTTGCCTGGGCTGATTTTACTTTTTCATTGTGTGTGTGTGTGTGTGTGTGTGTGTGTGTGTGTGTGTGTGTGTTGGTGGTGGTGTTGCTGTTTGTTCTCCACCCCCATTGGTTTGCATGTAATAATTTATATAGTGTTTTATTCACGCACATTGTGCTTCATTCATGTGCAGTGTTTTATACAATCCTTCATCCACATTCATAGACATTATGTGAAATGGAGTCGGAACCAACCTATGGCTGACCTTCTAGCAGATTTTCAGAGACAGTAAATCCCACGAGAAAAGATTGCCCATCCCTTTTCCAGGGAAGCTGCTAGAGGATTCAAACTGCTTTCCTTTGGGATTGCAGTGCATTTTATAGAATTAGTTACTATTGATCTATGCCTGCTACTACTCAATCTCCTTGAGTCCCCGTTGAATCTTTCACCACATCTGCCCATCAAACTCTGCTCTCCTAGTGATTTCCACCCTCTTCCTTTTTTGCCTCCTTCTCTTTGCCTTTGCCTTTCTCCTTTCGGACATTTATACACTGGATCTTACTAGTTATCCTTCTATTTTTACAACGATGGTCTTAGGTAATATTTGTCCTTATGAGACTGAGTTAGTTCACTCAGTAATGATCTGTGGACTCTACCATGTGATGTAGTATTTTTTTATTTTTGCAGGGATACCAACATGCGCTTCTCTGCGGAGCTGCGGCGCCTGCAGAGTCTTCCCAAGTGCGAGCGCCTCCCGCTGCCATCCTTCCTGCTGCTGCCCTTTCAGCGCATCACCCGCCTCCGCATGTTGCTGCAGGTACCAGCCTGGCTGGGGTTTTCCCGCCCACCATCCCAGCTGGAGAATGCTACCCACAGATCTCTAACTTCATTCAGTCACTCAGTGATGTTGAGTCAGAACCATTCATAGAGGACCCTCTAGTAGATTTTCAAGGATGTAAATTGCACAGGAGAAGATTGCCCATTTTTCTCCTTCAGAGACACCTGTGGGTTGGAACCACCAGGGAAGCATGGCCCCTGAGTCAGCACACACCTGCATAAGGATCGCATACACAACCAGTGCCCCATCTCTTACTCATCCCCACCTCCCACTGCACCATGACCACCACCTTTTAATCAAGGCCAACTCATGACAACCTCCAGCATGTCAAAGTAGAACTGTATTCCATAGTGTTTTCAAAGGCTGATCTTTCAGTAGATTTCCAGCTCTTCCTTCTGAGGCACTTCTGGGTGGCTTTGAACCTCCAGTATTTTGCATATTTCCTGGATGATACTCTTGATATCTTCCCACAGCTCATCTGGTTTTCATTCATTAGTATTCAAGGCCTCAAACCTGTTCCTGAGTTGGTTTTTAAATTCAGGTGGGATAGCCTCAAGGTCAATTTTTTTTAAAACCAAAAATCTTTTTTTTTTTTTACATTTTTTTATTATTTTGTGTGGATGTGTGAGTGCCGTCAAATCGAATCTGACAGGTACAGGAGGAGATTGCCTCCTGCTCCAGCAGAGCATCTGGTGGATTCGAACCCTGTACCTCTGGGACTGCAGTGCAGCTCATTGCCACTAGGCCACCAGAGCTCCCTTCAAGGTCAAATTTTTATTCCTGTGGATTTGATTTAATTTTCTTTAGCTTTAATTTGAACTTGCATATGAGTAGTTGATGGTCTGTTCCACAATCAGCTCCTGGCCTACTTTTCACTGTTGATATTGAACTTCTCCAATGATTCCTTCCACAGATGTAATCAGTCTGATTCCTGTGCATGCCATCAGGTGAAATTCATGTGTATAGCCTGAATTTATGTTTCTTATAAAAGTTATTTGCTATGAATAAATTACTGGTAGCCTTCTTTCTCAGTGTTCCCCCCCCCCCAAGGTCAGTCCCGTTTTACAACAGTGGCACAAGCAGTATTTGTCCTTTTGTGACTGAGATACTTCACTCAGCAAAATGTCCTCCAGGGTCACCCATTTTGAATAATATTGCACAAGTTCCTTGTTTTCAATGCAGCATAGTATTCCATTGTGTGACTATTCCACAGCTTCTCTATCCATTTGTTTGTTCATGGGCACTTTGGTTGTTTTCAACTCCTTGCTATTGTGAACAAAGCTGCAATAAACATGGGTGTGCATATATCTGCTTGGGTGGTAATTCGGGTTTCTTTAGGGTATATTTCCAGTAGTGGAATTGCTGGATCAAATGGTATCTCTATTTGCAACTTTTTGAGAAAGCGCCACACCACCTTCCACAGTGGTTGTACCATTTTATACTTCCACCAACAGTAAGTAAGGGTTCCAGTTTCTGCACAACCTTGCCAGCATTTGTTGCTTGCTGTTCTGATAAATTTTGCTTTTCTGACTGGGGTGAGATGATATCTCATAGTTGTTTTGATTTGCATCTCTCTTCGAGCTAGGGATTTTGAACATTTCTCCATGTGCTTGTTGGCCATCTGAATGTCTTCTTCGGTGAAGTGTCTGTTCATATCCTGTGCCCATTTTCCTAATGGATTATTTACCTTTATCTTGTTGTGGTGCTCAAGTATATTATAAATTCTAGTTATAAGTCCCTTATCTGACATGTCATTACCAAATACTTTTCCCAGTCAGTGGCTTCCCTTTTTACCCTGTTGGAAAAGTTTTTGGATGTGCATAGGGATTTGATTCTTAGAAGGTCCCATTCATCTATTTTGTCTTCTCCTGGTTGTAGAAGAATTCTATCATTCTATCCCCAGCCTCATTTCTGTCACCAAGTCCATGTTTTCCGACTACTGATCCTTCTTCCTAGTTTCCAAACAATAATAATGGTCTCCAATTATTATTAATGCATGTTGGTTGCATGTTAGATCAACTTCTGACTGCAAAAGACACACAAACACAATCTCATTGTCTTAGAGTCACTTCTAACTCCTGACTGACTCCTTCTGTGTTTCCAGAGCTATAAAATAGCATAGGAGTAGATTGCCCATCTTTCTCCCTCAGAGTCACTGGTAGAAGATGCTTGGTTATTATCCCTACCTTAGAGATGAGAAAACTGAGTCTCAGGGAAATAACACGAATTGCTTAAGGTTATGCTGGTGATAGAAGGTGAACTCTCTCAGCATGGTTGAAAGATTTATCCCAAGTTCCCAAACTGAGCATTTCTCCAAGCCATCCAGATTCCTCTGAGCTGTGACCCCCTCTCCCTTTTAAATCTTGGGCCTCAGAACAGGGGTTCTCTTTGTCCCTAGAATATCCTGAACCAAACGGAGGAGGGATCCAGTCGTCAAGAGAATGCCCAGAAGGCCTTGGGTGCTGTCAGCAAGGTGGGTAGGAGGATGCTGGGTCAGGAGAGGTGACAGGGTGGTAGGATGAGATGGAAGGGGTGGCCTTGAGGATGTGTGACCTGGCACCTTTACCCAGATCATTGAGCGCTGCAGCGCTGAGGTGGGGCGCATGAAGCAGACTGAGGAGCTGATCCGACTCACCCAAAGGCTGCGCTTCCATAAAGTCAAGGTTTGTTCTTGATCAGAGCCCCCACTCTCCCTTTCTCCAGAGCTCCTTGAGGGAACTCTGTCCAGCTCCTCTCTTACAGGCCCTGCCCTTGGTCTCTTGGTCAAGGCGCCTGGAGCTGCAGGGGGAGCTAATGGAGCTGGGGTGGCGCAGGGGTGGCGTCCTCTTCCCCTCGCGGTCACGGTCACGCTTCACCCCTCTTTGCCTGCTGCTCTTCAGTGACCTGCTGCTCGTTACTCAGCCTAAAAGGTGACTCCCAAGGAGGGAGGAGGGCACCTAGGCTGGGGTGGGAGAGCTGGGGCCCAGGTGAACGCCAGCTCTTACTCGGAACTCTCTCTTTTGTGGGCAGTGGGCAGAGGCTGCAGGTTCTGGACTATGCCCATCGCTCCCTGGTCCAAGCCCAGCAGGTTCCAGATCCATCTGGCCCCCCCACGTTCCGCCTCTCCCTTCTCAGTAACCACCAGGGCCGCCCCACCCACCGGCTACTCCAAGCTTCATCCCTGTGAGTTACCTCTCAGACCTCCCCCCAACCTCCTCCTGAGTCTCTCCTCTGTGACCACAGCCTAACCCTTGGGGCCAACTGTGACTCCTCACTATATCCCCACCAGATCAGACATGCAGCGCTGGCTGGGAGCCTTCCCAACCCCAGGCCCTCTCCCCTGCTCCCCAGACACCATCTATGAGGACTGTGGTGAGTGCTGGGGGTGGGGGGAGGGGAAATTGAATCTCAAGGAGAACATAGAGGGGGAGCTCACAGAGCCTTGATTTTACTGCAATGTTATCCACTCCCAACCAGAATGTTCTCAGGATCTGTGTTCAGTGCCTTCTACACCTACCAAGACTGAGAGACAGAGTCTGGCATCCAAGGGTCCCTCCAAACACCTGCATAAGAGCCCTGAAGGTGAAGAATTATTACTTATGCATTCAATAACTATTAAGGAGAGGCACTTAAAACTCAAAGATGGCACCTCTCTTGAGTCCAGCTGCTCCAGAGGAGAAAGACGGGCAATTTCCTCCCATGAGATTTACAGCCTCTAAAAACCCATTGAAGGGTCAGCTATGAATTGGTTTTGACTCAGCAGCAATGAGAGTTTGAAGTATGAACACTGCATTTGGAGATCCTTGCGCATTAAACAGTGATTCCTGCCTTGTGAGAGAATACATTTTAACAAAAGAGCCAGAAAAGACAAAGAATTAGTAAAATGAATAAGAAAATTATGTAGTGCATTGTTGTTGTCATGTATGCTGTTGAATCAGAACCAACCCATAGCTGATCCTCCAGCAGGCTTTCTGAAGCACTTTATTACACAGGAGGATATCGCTCATCCTTCTGCAGAGAAGCTGGTGGATTTGAACTGTGTTCCTTTGAGATTGAAGCACAGTTTCTTACCACTAGGCCACCAGAACTCCCTACTTAGTGCATCAGAGGCTGGCAGGTGCCATGGGAAAAATAAAAATGAGGCCAAGTAAAGGAGGGCAGAGGTCAGGAGTGCAGAGAAGGCTACAACTTTAAATAGGGAGACTGAGGTGGGACTCGCTGAGAAGGCAACATGGGACGCTGGCCTGAAGGAGGTAATCAACAGCTACCTGGGAAAGCATCCCTGTCAGAGGAAACAGTCAGTGCCAAGGTCCTGAGGCCCAGGGATTTGAGGGGTCAGCAGGAAGGTCAGAGTGGCTGAAGGGTTCCAGGAAAGGGCAGTAAAGCGGGAGATGAGATCATAAAATAACAGGGACAGCTCATGTGAGCCCTTATAAGTGGTTGGAAAGACTTGGCTATGGACTCTGAGTGAGATGAGCAGACATTAAGGGGCTCGACGCTGGTGGCTCCAACCCTCTCTGCTGTTGCTGTCACTTCTGCTTGCAGTACCCTTTCTACTAATACTCCAGGCTTCTGGACTAATTCCCATGCCCACGATGACCCTCAAGGCCTCAGGCCCCCTCCACTAAGGCATCTTTCTTCCTCTTCATCTATCCCTCTACTTAGATCTCTGTCTCTTTCCCCAGGCTGGCTAAAGGGTGTCCCTGGGACCTTCCCTGCCCAGTTGGTGTGTGAAGTCACAGGAGAACATGAACGAAGGAAGCACCTTCGCCAGCACCAGAGGCTTCTTGAGGCTGTTGGACCCTCTTCAGGCACCTCCAGTGCCTCCCCTCCCTAATGCAGGCTGGAGGGGAGGCACTGGCTGGGACAGCTGGTAGCGTGACCCACTGGCAGAGTTAGCTAAAGACCTTAGCCAGAGAAGACAAATCCATGCATGTATTCACTGTCAGTGAAAACACTACCTCGAGGGGCATCCAAGCTTCATTCAGGACAGGGCAGCTGACGGAAACAGAGCCACCTGAGCCTACAGCACCGAGGATGAAGGGAGATGGCTTGAATGGAGGCAGAGGCTTAGTGAAAACCAGTTGCCATTGATTTGACCAATGACTGCTCTTGCTATGTTCACAGCCAATGAAGATGAAGCTAGACCAATAAAATTTAAAAAAGGGACACATACGGAGATACAGACCTAGGATAAAGCAGCCACCAGGGATGAGCAGGGAGCCAACCAGCAAATGAAGATGATGGTTTGGGTCAGTAATGACTGTCCAGTAATGATGGGTTCTGCTCCTTGAGACAGAGAATTGTTAGACTCTATTCCTAGGGTGTCTCTTTTTCTTGTGCCCTCTCAAGCCACAATCCCTTTTCTACCACAATCCAGAGTGTGTGTTTTAAAGCATGTGTGTGCGCACTTATGTGTATGTATATGTGTAAGTATGGCAAAGAGCATGAACCTATTGTGTATCCTGGTTGCCTGCTCCCATCTCCAGTGATTGCATACTTCATTTCCTCCCTCACACCCATTTTCCTATTATTTTCTCTAAGAAAGATACCAAATCTGAGCTCTGTAAGTGAGTGTGCAGTTGGAGGCCAGAGCTGAAGATGAGAGCACTAGGTGCTGGTCTCTTAGGTGCCAAGGTTCCATGGCAGCTGAAGGGTGATGCTGTGGAGAAGCCATGTAGCTTGAGGGACTAAGGACAGTCAGAAGCTGGAGCTTGAGGTTCCTTGAAATCTGCAGGCCCTTCCTGCACCACAGCCTGACCAGGACCCCTGTTAACAAATCGTTCATCCTGAACTGAAACCAGTTGGCCCAGCCCTCACCTCAGCCTTCAGACTTGCTGTGGGTCCCAGACTTGGGTGAAGAACGGCAGCTGTGGGTCACAGGATGTCTAGTGAACTTTCTGGGCTTTCTTGCCTTCATCCCAGTCTTCTCACAGAAACACTGGGCCAAGTGGTGGTAGAGATGGAGAGCTGATATTGCACCCAACTTGATCCAAAACATCTGATTTTAGAGGAGAAACTGCTCCTGGATAATGCCATGAAAAGGTGGGGGGTGAAGACAGGGTGGAGCAGTCATTGGCAAGTGTGAAACAAGGTCGCCCGCTAGGCTAGGCCATTCTCATCTCTCCTGCTACACATATTTAGCAACTTGCCCAGAACAGAAAGTGCACTGACCACAGGAGATGCAGGGATGGGGAGTCTCAGAGAGAGTGGACATAGGCATTTGGTGTGCCCATGGCTTTGAAGACTCACCTAGTACCCTGCCTGACATACAGGAACCCTCCATAAATGCTGGTGGAAGCTCTTGGAAGGGGCAGTGGTCTTGAGAAACTTTTTGAGGGAGATGGGGCTAGTTGTAAAGGGCTATTTGAAGAACAGAGATCAGGTGTGCCAGTAACTGGGGCTCAGAGCCCAGGCCCAAGTCCTGAGTGTGCTATCCATCCTGAGCTCCTGAGAGCTCTGAGGAGGAAAGTGGACACAGCTGCTGAGAGGAGGAAGGACAGGTATGCCCTGGAGCAGTAGACTGGGCAGGGCCAGGCATCCCTGGGATTCTGGTAGGAGATGGAAGATATAGCAAAATGGGGGGGGGGGAAATCTGTCAACAATAAAAGTCTTTTCTTGACCTCTGTGTTTAGTTCAATTCAACACTTATTTATTGAGTACCTTCAATATACCAGGCACAGTTCAAGGTGATAGATAAGAAACTGACAAAGGTCTTGAGACAAAATTACCAAATAAACACAAGATCAAGTAAGATAAAGCCCAGAGGAGAAAATGTTATGAAGAACATACAGCTGGGGCTGTGACAGTGTCAGGTGGGGGTGGGAAGGTGTCAGGTAGGTGAGTGTTGGTGGTGCCTTGAGCAGGGTGAATATTCTTAAGAGGAGTGGTCTTCAGTCTGGCAGCTTTGTCAGGAGCTTCTGAGGGGTGTGGAGCACAGGTATGAGAAAGTGGTAGTCAGGGGCACGGGGAACAGAGTATATGAGGACAGAGTGGGGATGGGATAAAGAAGAGGCTGATGAGTGGGTACAGGTGGCAGCTGGGTAACCTGGCAGGAATGCTCTCCCAGCATCTACCTCTTGGCCACAGCAGGCTGTATTGCTTCATGCAAGATTTGCCTCTTGGGGCCACTTACTCAGAGGTGTGGTAGGAGAGGAGACCCTGGGAGGAGCAAGCTCTCCTTGGAGCTGTGTCTGAAGATCCAGGTGTGGGGGCTAGGGCTGGGCTTGGTATAAATTACCCAAGTGGTAATAAGAGTCATAGTCACCACATCTCAATATCTACCACTGGGGAGGTGGAGGAAACATTTCCTCTGTTTTAGCAAAGGACGGGAGGGGTGTGCCTGTGGGGCCTCGCCGAGAGGCTAGGCCTCTGCCGAGTGTTGCTTGCTTGCTGGCTGGTTTGCTCGCCTATCTATCTTCCTTTTTCTCTCTCTGTCGCCTCATAACTCTTCTCCTCATATTTGTGGCCTCCATATTGGAGGAGTTGTTGGTAATGCAGATAGCACAGGGCCCTGAACTCTCTGCCTTGAGATTTCTTTGGGCTAATGTCAAGAAGACAAAGATTCTCACCCCTGGACCAATTGGCAGCGTCAGGATGGATGACGAAAAGATTGAGATTGTTCACAGTTTCAGTTTGCTCGGCTCCACAGTCAACACTCTTGGCACCAGCAGTCAGGAAATCAAAAAGCGTATCGCGATGGGAAAGTCTGCTGTTAGGGACCTCTCTAAAGTACTCAGGAGCAACAGTGTCTCTCTGGAGACTAAGGTGCGCCTGATACAGGCCATGGTCTTTGCAATCGCTTGTTATGCATCAGAGAGTTGGACAATGACTAGGGAGGACAGAAGGAGAGTGGATGCTTTTGGGCTGTGGTGCTGGAGAAGGGTACTGAATGTACCCTGGACTGCCAGGAAAACAAACGGATTTGTCTTGGAGAGGATTAAACCAAGCTACTCCTTGGAGGCAAGGATTCTGGGGCTTCGTCTGACATACTTTGGACATGTTGCCAGGAGGGACGGGTCCTTGGAGAGGGACATCATGCTTGGGAGGGTTGAGGGACAACGCAGGAGGGGAAGACCCTCTTTGAGATAGATTGATTCGGTGACTGGGGTAATAGGGATGGGTGTGTCAGAGGCGGTGCGGTTGGCGCAGGATAGAGCAGGGTTTAGGGCTGTTGTGCATAGGGTCGCTATGAGTCGGAAACGACTCGACGGCACATAACAACAACAACAACAATGTTGTAACCATGATCACCAGTGAGCTGGGAGGGCTTTCTCAAACCCACTTTCTGCAGTTTTCCCAAGAGCTTCTTGGCACAGCTTATCTTGACATGGGCTCTGTCAAAAAGCAACTATGATGAAGAATTTCAAGCTGCATTGAAGGCACTGGCAAAAAATAAGGCCTTAAGAGTTGCTGGAATGCCACTTGAGGTGTTTCAGCAGGCAGATGCAATAGCCCTGGATGTGCTCACCAATCTATGTCAAGAAATTGGGAAGACACCTGGTCAACTGACTAGAAGAGATCCGTATTTGTTGCCATTCCCTAAAACAGTGATCAAACAGAATGTGAAAATTATCAAGCCACTGCTTGTAATTATTATCACGTCAGTAGAATCTTGCTGAAGATTATTTTTTAAAAAGCTAGAACAGTACATTGACAGGGAATTGCCAGAAATTCAAACTGGATTCAGAAGAGGCTGTGGCACAAGTGATGTCATTGTTGTCAAGATGGATCTTGGCTGAAAGCAGAGAATACCAGAAATATGTTGATTTGTGTTTTACTGACTTTTGCATTATTTCATTTTGTTGTTGTTAGGTGCCATCGAGCAGCCTGTGACTCGTAGCGACCCTCTATACACAATAGCTCTGATCCTGCTCTATCCTGAGCCAGTCTCCCTTTCTCCGACACACCTAATCCCATTGCCACAATCACTGTCTCAATCCATCTCATGCAGAGTTTTCCCTTCTTGTGCTGTCTCTCCACTCTTCCAAGCATGGTGTACTTTTCCAAAGACTGGTCCTTCCTGACAACATGCCTGAAGTATGTAAGATGGAGCTTCAAAATCCTCACCTCTAAGGAGCAATTTGGTATTTATTTATACTTTTGTTTGGTTTACTGCTTATTTTTGGTTAGAGTTTTACCACTGAACAATTTGGATTCCCCCCACCCCAGGCTTATTTGCTTAGGCAAATTGTGCAGCATTTCTTTTGGCACCAACAGACTCTGTCAGGACACGATGTATCAGAAATGACAAAAACTTCTAACTTCCATGCAGTCATACATACTAGTCATTTGTAGTCTTGGTACAGATTTTTGCCCTATAAACATAGAAATGATACATTGAAATTTATGTATAGAGCATCTGCACTTGAAGAGGATTCATTATCTGCACATATAGATGATTAAGACTATTAACTAGCTCAAGTGAGACTGTGAGTTTGAACTCAAGTCAATGTTATTGAGTTAAAACCAACTCATAGCCAACTCTCCAGTGGTTTTTCTGAGGCTGTTAATCACATGGGAGGAGATTACCTATCTTTCCCCCTCATTGCTGTTGGTGGATTCAAATGACCATAGATGTGCCTTTAGGTTAACAGCACAACTCCCTGTGGACTAGACCCCCAGAGCTCTGTGCAGTTTAACTGTTGTTGTCAGATGCTGTCATGTTGAAAACAGCTCTTAGCAGCTTTATGAACAACAGATCTGAACCCTGTCCTATCCTCTGTCAGAGCCCATGGATGCCATCCCTGTGTTGAGGGTCTTCCTCTCTTTGATTGACTCTCCACCTTTCCAAACACGATGCCCCTCTCCAAGGAATAGCCCCTCCTAGCAACAGGC